CATGTTAGGTTACACTTATTTCAGTATGTTTTTTGCATTCGGTCACATTTTGAGTTCTTCATTAACTTATAAATCCAAATTTCGTGCAAATCGAAGGATATATAGCGACTTTGGTGCACCATTTACATAAAATCGGACGAAAATATATATGGGAGCTATATCTACATTTTAACCGATTTTCACGAAATTTAACACACATCGTTCTAGACTTAATTCAGTACGATATGCCAAATTTCGTGCAAATCGAAGTATATATAGGAACTTTGGTGTACATGGTGCATAAAATCGGACGAAAATATATATGGCAGCTATATATAAATCTGAACAGAGTTTCACGAAATTTAAAATACATCTCTCTAGACTTAATTCAGTTATCGAAGGATATATAGGGTCTCTGTTGCACCATTTACATAAAATCGGACGAAAATATATATGGGACCTATATCTAAATCTGAACCGATTTCCCAAATTTTGTGCAAATCGAAGGGTATATAGGGTCTCTGTTGCACCATTTACATGAAATCGGACGAAACTATATATGGGAGCTATATCTAAATCTGAACCGTTTTTCGCGAAATTTAACACACATAACAGACTTAATTCAGTACCCTATCCCAAATTTCGTGCAAATCGAAGGGTATATAGGGTCTCTGTTGCACCATTTACATAAAATCGGACGAAACTATATATGGGAGCGATATCTAAATCTGAACCGATTTTCGCGAAATTTAACACACATCGATCTAGACTTAATTCAATACGCTATGCCATATTTCGTGCAAATCAAAGGATATATAGGGACTTTGGTCCACTATTTACCTAAAATCTGACAAAACTATATATGGGATCTATATATAAATCTGAATCGATTTTCACGAAACTTAGCACACATCATTCCGGACCTAATTCAGTACTCTATGCCAAATTTCGTGCAAATCGAATGATATATAGGGTCGTTGGTGCACCATTTACCTTAAATCGGACGATAATATATATGGGAGCTATATGTAAATCTGAACCGATTTTCACGAAACTTGGCACACATCATTCTGCACCTAATTCAGTACTCTATGCCAAATTTCATGCAAATCTAATGATATATAGGGACTTTGGTGCACCATTTGCCTTAAATCGGACGAAACTATATATGGGATCTATATATAAATCTGAACCGATTTTCACGAAACTTGGCACACATCATTCTGCACCTAATTCAGTACTCTATGCCAAATTTCATGCAAATCTAATGATATATTTAGACTTTGGTGCACCATTTACCTTAAATCGGACGAAACTATACATGGGAACTATATCCGAATCTGAACCGATTTTCTCGAAACTTGGCACACACCATTCTGGACCTAATTCAGTACTCCTTGCCAAATTTCGTTCAAATCGAAAAATATATAGGGACTTTGGTGCACCATTTACCTTAAATCGGACGAAAATATATATGGGAGCTATATCTAAATCTGAACCGATTTTAACGGAACTTAGAACACATCATTCTGGACCTAATTCAGTACTCTATGCCAAATTTCGTGCAAATCGAAAGAAATATAGGGACTTTGGTACACCATTTACATAAAATCGAACGAAAATATATATGGGAGCTATATCTAAATCTGACCCGATTTTTCCCAATTTCAATAGGGTTCGTCCTTGGGCCAAATAAGTGATCTATGCCAAATTTCATTCAAATCGGATCATAAATGCGACCTGTACTTTGTTCACAAAAATACATGGACAGACCGACGGACAGACGGACATGCGTAAATCGACTCAGAAAGTGATTCTATGCATATTCTCAAACGGAACCATGTGTCCATCTCGTTTCCTTTTGCCTGTTACAAACATATGCACAAAGACATAATACCCTGTACCACAGTGTGGTGAAGGGTATAATAACTACCAATTTAATAAATAGGCTGAGGGAAGGTATTGTGATACAAAACGAAAATGTTAGGTTTGAAATTGAGCTATATAGGTCCTAAATTAGGCATAGTCCCTCATATAATGATAACTCCAAATGTTCGATAATTCCTACACTATGTAAGGAATTTTGATCGCCCTTAGGTTTAGTGCTACATATAACTTTGCCCTGTAAATTGAAGCCTTTTGAGGATTTTATACACATTTTGCACCCTACCAAGCGTTATCAATATTGGACCACGATTTTGAGTGTTGAAATTTAATCACCACTAAAAATTGCTGACATTTGTATTACATGTGCATTTTGAAAAATAGCTTGGTACAATTTTTGGTATGATCCATATATCCTCCATTATTCCTTACATCAGAAGTCTCGACAGTATAACATAGTTATTCGTGGGGTGGGGGGAGATATCATTGCTAATAAATGTCAATACTCTATGGTGATTAATATTAGGAATTTAATTTTAATATTTTTGACAATAATTTAATGTTTCTGTACGTCAGTGGTTTACAATATATCCTGTTAAAGGAGGATCACTTATTTGCAATGTGTCCTATGTAAATCTCCCACCCATTTTTGTTTACATCGTAAGTTTTAAGGTCATTCGCAATAGAATAGTTCAACGTAGGGTTGGAACTGTAATTCAAGTAACGGTCAGTATACCTGTGGTGGAGGGTATCCAAAGTTCGGCCCAGGTTTGGATACCTTCTTAAAATTTTCTATATTTTTCATTCAAATTGTCCCTCTGACTGCTTGTCAACAAGTAAAATACCTTGAAAGGTCTCCACTGTATAGAATATCTATTAAAATATCTTCAAAATACAGCAGATCTTTTGAAAACTCTTCCTAAAATACCGATGACAGCTCTGTAGATTTTATTGGTCTAAAGAAGATTCCAATTGCATTTATTTTGCAATAATTTATAGAATATTTTTAGGATAATGTGAATAAATTCAAACAAAACCCTATTCCACAGAAATTCTCTGTAATTTCTGACAACAATTGAAGCAATGCTAATAGAATTAAATTTACATTAAATGTTCTACAATTTACAAATATACACTTTTAATTCTATTGTTTTAATTCAGTAAGATTTATTTACTAACAATTCATCACAATGTGGAAAATAAATTGAAACCGTCTGTGTATTTGTATATTCAATTTAATCTAAAAAAATACAAAAAACATTTTATCTTAGAGAAAAGACCACAATGCAGAGGAAACAAAAGAATGAATGAATTTCGACTAATTGTCAAAGTTTGTTAGTAAAAGAAAAGTAACAGGAAAAAAATAACAAATTCGGTTAGCTGACTTTGAGTGTGTGTGTGAGAGAGAAGATTTTGTGGATACTTGCTTGACCCAATATTTGAACACGTTTTTGCTTCTTTTTGCCAAAAAGTTAGACAAAAGCAAACAAATAAATGAACCAGTAAAGAAAGTAGTGAAGTCGGACTGAGCCGACTATATGATACCCTTCACCATTTTGGGTATATTTTACATATGTATCCTAACAGACGACGCGCTTTGTTATAAATCTATATATGAACCGATTTCAGGGAAACTTGCCAGAGACTAATATATATATAACATCAGTACGTTGTGTAAATCGGCCTAGCTATGGATATTTTCACGAAGCTTAGCAACATCATTCTAGACTTAATTCAGTACCCTATACCAAACTTCGTGCAAATCAAAAGATATATAGGGTCCTTGGTGCACCAATTACCTTAAATCGGATGAAAATACATATGGGAGCTATATCTAAATCTGAACCGATTTTCACGAAACTTGGAAGACATCATTTTCGACCTTATTCATAACTATGTGCCAAATTTTGTGCACATCAAAAGATTTCCAGGGGCTTAAGTGGACTATTTACAAAAAATCGGGCGAAGCTATATATGGGAGCGATATCTAAATCTGAACCGATTTTCACGAAACTTTGCACGCATCATTCTATACTTAATTTAGTACGCTGTGCCAAATTTCGTGCAAATCGAAAGATATGTAGAGATTTTGTTACACAATTAACCTTAAATCGGACGAAGATATATATGGGAGCTATATCTAAATCTGAACCGATTTTCGCGAAACTTGGCAAACATCATTCTAGACCTTATTCATTATGCTGTGCCAAATTTCGTGCAAGTCAAAAGATTTCCAAGGACCTTAGTGGACTATTTACCTAAAATCGGGCGAAGCTATATATGGGAGCTATATCTAAATCTGAACCGATTTTCGAGAAACTTTGCACACATCATTTGTGACTTCATTCATTACGCTGTGCCAAATTTCGTGCAAATCGAAAGATATATAGGGACTTTGGTGCACCATTTACCTTAAATCGGACGAAAATATATATGGGAGCTATATCTAAATCTGAACCGATTTTGCTCAATTTCAATAGGGTTCGTCCTTGGGCCAAACAAATGAGCTGACCCAAATTTCATCCAATTCGGATCATAAATGCGACCTGTACTTTGTTTACAATTTAACATGGACAGACAGACGGAAGGACGGACATGCATAAATCGACTTAGAAAGTGATTCTATGCATATTATTATTTTTACCTGTAACAAACATATGCACAAATACATAATACCCTGTATCACAGTGTGGTGAAGGGTATAAAAATGCTATGGCTATGCCTTCGAGTTATTATTGCTTGATTAGGGGTTATAAAAAATAAATTTGAAAATTTGGTCAATACAATTAAGAATATATTTTTAGGCACGTATCTGTTTGGGAAATTTAATAAAAAAGTTTAAATTTTTTAAAAATATTATTCCATTTCTTCTTCTTTAAAAATTTTCCCAGAAATCTTTTTATTTATTTTCTAATATTTCTTCCTGTTTTCAAGTTCAAATATTTTTTTCTTTGCCCGCCCCTTTTTAAGATTCCAACTATTTTCCCCCTAAAAGAAAAGAACAAAATATTTCAATAATTTTTTTTTTCTTATTCTTCTTACCTTGTAGTTGGTGGCGGAGGGCATTCTGGTCTGGTCGTTTCGGTGTGAGAGTGTGTCTGTGTGTGTTTATGTATGGGTACTTGGCTATTGTTGACTTGCTCTAAATTTACATTATTGTACAGCATTTCTTGGAACTGGTACTGTCACTGACTACATCACCAGTAATACCACTAAATTTATTTACACCACCACCACTACTGCCACTTGTTGACGAAGTCCCCGTTGTTGCAGTTCCAACTCCGGCACCCGATACTGATGATGGATCGTGGTGATGCATTAAGCCATTGTAATCCATTAGGGCTGGATGCTGTAGACCATTGTTGGACATCGGTTGTTGGGTATTCACCTGATGCTGCTGATGATGATGATCTAGCAGATGGTTGTTGTTGTGATTATTATTATTGTTGTTATTGTTGGGGTTATGTGTGGTTGTTGTTGTTGTCGTGTTGGCGGCTCCTAAAACAGAACCATTTTCACAATTATTGAAAACGCTAGAACGCGACAGAGAACGTTGCTTTTTCAAATTGGCCAATGTTGTTGCATTTGCCAAATATTGAGGATTAGAGGAGGAGGAGATGGATGTGGACATGGAGGCAGCAGAAGGATCCATTGATTGAAGCAGTTGCTGTTGTGCTGTTGTGTTGGACGACAAATTATGAAGGCCATGACCATGAAGATGCATTTGTAGATGTTGTTGGTTTTGCTGATTATGATGATGTTGATGTAGTTGTTGCTGTTGTAGATGGTTGGAGGATGTGTCTGCTAACAAGCAAAAAGAAAATTCACACACACACATTTATACGCACGCAAGCATGCAAGCAAAATCATACAAAATATGTGTCCATTTGTTGAAGAACAACACAAATCACAGTCCAACCGGATGTTATGTGGCGTGGAGTACAGGCATGGCGTCAACAATGATGGTGGTTACCAACCAAATATTCATTGTGTCCGCAAAGCAGCATTGCAATACAAGGCAGTGCAGATTTTTTGCATAATGAATTAGTGTTTGGCATTTTGTGTGATGAATTTTTTTCGGGTTGGGATTGGGAATGATGATAATGTGTTGTTGTTGTCGTTGGTAATGCGATAATAATGAGTTGGCCAAAGCAACAGGACCGGACATTGCAGAACGCAAAACAGGGACAAAAAATTGAAACGAAAACGGAAATGAAACAAAGAAAACAAAACAATGATAAGACAGACCATAATTATGTTAGGTTATGATAATGTTTCTATTATAAAGCGATTTATTAAACAAACGATTGTTGCGCAGAATTAGGAAATGAGAATTTATTATAAATTTAAATGTGATAATAAAGTACAGTGGGAGGATTTTTTATAGATGTTTTATAATAAGTCATTGGTGTTTTCTGTAAAAACTAAAAATCTCTATAATAGATTTTAAATACAAAAATTTTAATATTTTTGTGGAATTTCATTTTTTTAATTTACTAATTACTTAAAAAATTAAAAAAAAACAAAAAAAATGTTAAATATGTTTTTTACTAATCGTTAAATATGGTTTTTGGTTCTCGTTAGGTTATAAAAAACAGGTGATCTTAAAAAATCAGTCGATCATATAATGGTCCAGCCATTTGTATGTATTTTCAACACCCTAACCGCATTTTTATACCCTCCATACTATGGTGGAGGGTATAAAAATGGTCCTCGTATTGGTGAAGCTCATTTTAGCGGTGCTGTAATTTGTTGTTCCTCTATTTTGGGAAAGGTTTGAAAAAATATGTGTAGACAATTTTTAATACAGGTCAGTTCCGGCAAATTTTTAATTAAAAGTCAGTTCTGGCAAATGTTTAATATACCTCCATGTTTTTTTTTTGCAAAGTCCCCCATAAAAGAGTTCTGCCGCGTTTTTGTTGTACCCTTAACCACTCTGTCGTATAGGGTATGTTTGTAACAGACAAAAGAAATCGAGATAGACCCATGGTTCCTTTTGAGAATATGCATAGAATCACTTTCTGAGTTGATTTAAGCATGATCCAGTTTATATGAAATTCCGATTTATTATTATTATAATTCCGATTTAGATGAAATAAGTTACCTTATTTGGCCCAAGGACGAATCCTATTGAAATTGGAGAACATCGGTTTAGATTTAGTTATAGCTCCCGTATATAGTTTCGTCCGATTTTATGTACCAAACTGCCAAGTATTGTCCGATTGAGACAAAATTTGCACAGCGTACTGAATTAGGTCCAGATTAATGTACGCGAAGTTTTCTTGAAATCGTTTCAGATTTAAATATAGCTTCCATATATAGTTTCATCCGATTTTATGTAAGTGGAGGACCATTCTGTCAATATTTGTCCAATTGAAACATAATTTTGCATGGCGTATGTTTAGGTATAGCTTCCATATATTTTCATCCGATTTAATCGATCGGACGAATTAGGACGAATTAGTGCACAACGTGCCAAATTGAACTTAGAATAACGTTCATTGGACTTTGTGGATGCCACGGTAGCTTCCATACATATTTTTTTCGATTTCATAAAAATGATTGGCATTCAATTAGACGTATAGTCGGCCCGTCCCACTTTTAAACTTTCCCTCCTGTTTTTTTTTTTTTTTTTTTTTTGGTACTTGACACTTTTTTGAGTGGATTTAAGGATAAAACTCTCTTAGCACAACATTTTAAATATAGATCTATATTTTTATGAACAAGAACAAATTGTATAGAATTTTCAATATGAATCCACCTTTTGTATAACTCCCTTATATCGTACCTCAATTTTCCGGTATTTTAAAGAATTACACGTATTATTATATAACGATGTGGCTTTAAATTGGCACTTCGGCTTCTTCGGCGAATATTTTCACATATCTCACATATAATTATCCCGCCCACTTCTTTATGTTGAAGGTCCTGAGATGACAATTTTTTTTATTCGGACAACTGACAGCAAATTACCATGACAAACTTAATCTTTCGGTCGATTTTAGAAATTTCAAACGGCAATCGATTACGTGGATTTTTGAAGACGAGTCAATGGCATTGAAAAGTAATCAAGTAAAAATGCGTGGTCAGGATTTGTTTTAAGCTAATGAGAAAGTGCTTAAAGCGTGCTGGATAATACTATAATAATCGATTTTTGCTGATAAATATTAGGAATTTAGTTATTAATCCAATCAATCCGGTTATTACAGTTCAGAATTGTAAGAAACAAATGGAATATACTGATTGATAAGAAATGATTCTCAGTGAAACCGTTTCACCGATCTAGTTCCTACCTCACTAAATGAATTTCCCACTGTACTTTATTTGAAACATAATAATATAAAATAAAAATAATAATAAAAGGATAATATCCTACAAAGCATGCACTAATTCGTCGTTCTCATTCGACATTAGCTTTGTAAAATTTTCAAAACATTAAAGTTTATATCACTAATCCAACAAATAGTGTACTTACCAACTAATACCGTCACTTGGACATTTATTTTACCATTCGCCGCCTCTTTACTCGACTGTATTTGTACAGCTTCATTTTGTCCCGAATGTTTTGTCGTTGCCGCAATAACAGCTGCCGATGCGGATGTGGTCGTTGTACTGCTACCGCCACCGATGCCACCCATATCACCACCTGTGGAATGTTGCTGTTGTTGTTCACCATTGGTTTTAAATGCTTGCATTTGTAATTCATCATTTTCACGACCCTCTGGCGGTCGTCGTGGCTGATAGGAATGTTGTGATGGATGTTGCTGATGATGGTGATGCATTGCCATGGCCATGGAGGAGGATGATTGTATGGAATTATTAGTGTTTAGTGGCGCACTGGTCGAATCTACTAAATCTTGAATACTAGGATCGTAGGAATTTCTATGATTGTTATTCATTTTTAAGGTATTGTTGTTAATGCTGCCGCTACTGCTGCTGCCATTGTGTGAATGATGATGATGATGCTGCTGCTGATTGTTTGCCGTCGTGTTTGTTAGCCAATCGGCGGCAGTGTCGAGGACATGATCACGCGGACCGTTTGGATCCATTGTTGTGCTATCGGGGGCAGGAGCAAAAACATCTTGTGCTTGTAGACGTAACCGGGTTTCTTCGGCGGCATCTTTTTTGGTTGTTAGCGTTTTGTCGCGTAAGGAGGTGCGTCGTACCGATTGTGCTCTGGGGAAAAAAATTGAAAGGGGGATAAATAAAAGTGAATTATGGTTTTAAATAAGATGAGAGGATCTTTGTAATATTTACCTTGTATTATTACTTTGAGATCGTCTTACTCGTCTTCGTTGTGCTTCAGCTAAACGTTTACTTTCCTGTTCCGTTTTCAATTGTTCGATACGTTCACGTATCTCGGGATCTTCACAGATATCTGAAATATGAAAAAAAATCAAAAATTCGTTTAGTGCATAAATGAATGTATTTGTTTTGATTCATAAATCAAATTTATCCTAATTTATGAATCTGGAAACATTATCGTCGGATAAACCAACTGAAGGAACAGGTAAATGAGCAAAAGTTTAGCCACTTTCGAATTCTGAAATTAAGGATAACAAAACGGCTATGATATTTATCGACGGAACGGTGACCGATCCGAAGAGTTTCGCGTAATATTTTAACAAATATTCAATAAAGTGCACCGAGCAGGAAATGAGAGTACTTTGTCGTATATGAAGCCGACTGTTGGTTATTTGCACTGAATTGACTCGAAGGACAGTTTCGACCAGAGGCAGCCACTTCAACAACAAATACAAGTACGTGGAGTTTATTTTTGTTTTGGGAAAGTCTGCTACAAACATTCTTGGTCCAGGGTAAGATAGAGAGAGAGAAACCGCGGACCTTGGTTCTGTAGTGTTTTTCAGAGCCGCATAAAACCCAGATCCGCATGCTCAATGTTGTTTCGGGTTAAACAGGATACAGTATTACAGCGATAGGATTAATGTTGCGACATGCTGTGCCACCACATCCCACTGTGTGTCTCAGTCATCGTCCGATTCGTCGGAATACGAGACACCCCCCTACGTCTCCCCAACACAGTATACCTAGCATTTGACAACACGTATTGCTTTTCAACGCTTCGATTATGCATCGTTCAAGATCAGAGAAATTGTGGAGTTTATGAGTCGAAGACGTATTATGGTCGCTGCGATCCAAGAAGTGAAGCTAACCGATAACAGTAACTTACAGCGTCGCGATGGTTACAAAGTTGTGCGGAAGGATTTGTCCAGAACAGATCTAGCCCAAGTGTGTAACTGCCGAGGTAGGAATAGGGTAAGTCATTCGCGAACTCTGAAAGGAAGGACGACAGAACAGCTGTCACTTTTAGCGAAGTAAAAGTGTAAGATTCGTACAGGTTCGCGGGTATTTTTAACCAGCAGATTATAGATCACCTCTAGAGACAGGGCTTTGATTTTACTGATTGGGTCCATGAAATTCAGATCATGATCTCCATTCCATTGAAAATTTATTAATACTAATGAGACCTATTTTCAACTCCTAGGCAACGTCAGCAAGACAATTGTTGGATCTGGGGCTCGAAAAATCCAAGAGGTATTGTTGATCAACGATCGACTGTTTGTTGCGGTTAAAGTCCGGAAGGGTCATTGTACCCATTTTGAAAATGAGGGTGTTTCTACGGACCAAATCCGTTTCAGATAATTTGCCAACTCCTGCACTCGAAGATGAGGAATATCGTTCCACTCCTTCTAGTACCTCCCAAAATGGTAAAAATTGTGCTAAAAATTAATTTTATAATTCCATGCGAACGGACTATTCGATTTCAACCAAACTTGTACTTTACCAAGCCTAGATTCAGTTCGAAGATGGGACCAATTGGTCCACTCTTTCTGGTAACTCCCATATAAATGTTCAAAATTTTCCGAAGATGCGATTCATTGGTTCACTTATTATGTTACCTCCCTACAAATGGTCAACATTTTCTATGTTTATAAATTCAATATAGGACAAATGGAATGTCCGATATCCTAAGATGGGACCCATTGGTTCACTCCTTATATTAACTACCTTACAAATGGTGAAAATTTTCAATGGCGAATGGACTGTCCGATTTGAAATGAATTTTGCAGAACCTATTATCCTTACCAAGCTTAGATCAAGTTTGGAGATGAGACACGTCGGCACTCTCCTTCTGGTACCTCCCCGCAAAGGGTCAATACGATTTTGAATGCTAAATACCAAAAATTATAAATACCGACTTTAGTTTCGGGGTTGGGTATATATGACGTAGCCGTCATTATTTCAGGGGTTTTGTACACAGGATTTAAACCGAACTGGCTTTAATGAAATATTTTCGGTTCCCATTGGGAAGCAAATCTTTCTACCAGAAATGATCAATATTGGTCGCCTTTTTTGGGTAAGCCCCCGTATATTGGTACCATAAAATTTTCGTATTTTTGGTAAGTTTTTCTACCGAATTGCATGTAACTATTTTCAGTTCTCATTGCATAGAAAATGTACACGCCAAAAATTCTCAGAATGGACTCAAGTTTTGAGGAAGGAATCTTATAATGTACTCGCTATTATCCGTTTTGAAATATAGTTAAACTCACCTGAAGGCGTTTCATCGTCTTTGTTTTTGATATTTAAATCAGCACCACATTGCGCCAACATTTCCAATACTTCAAGCTGAATAATAATAAAAAAAACAAAAATATAATTTAAATAACAGAAACCAAAACCCTTACAGGTACACTTACATGGCCCCAACAGGCTGCTGCATGTACTGGCGACCACATATCCTTGTCTACGGCATCAACATTGACATGTTGTTCTAACAGGAATTCAACTACTTTGATATAACCATTAGCGGCAGCTATGTGTAACTGAGAAAAGAGAAGGACAGAAAGAGAGAGAGAGTTATACAAACATTTTCTAAAATTAATAACGAATTTACTTACCGGCGTTGCACCCTGTTCATCGGGCTGTTCAAGATCCCCACCATTTTTCGACACCTCTTGCAAATCTTTCAACATTTGCCTTTCCGTTGCCGATCTTGTCTCATCGATTAGTTCTTGGGTAACACCTCGTTTCGACATCTCAGCCTCTATATAGTCCAGCGTATTTTCATCATCACACAGATCATACGGCATGTTGCCATCCGTATTGACGGCCAATAGATTAGCACCATGATCGATAAGTATTCGCACCAATTCCAAATGACCACAGGTGGCCGCTGCATGCAATGGCGTCCATTTATCACTGTCCTGTGCATCAACATTAGCACCATATTCCAATAAAAGTTTCAACATTTCCACATTGTTGTCGATACAGCATTGATGCAGTGCCGTCAGACCGTCTTCGTTGGCGGCATCCGGTGTTATGCCATGTTCCAGCAATTCGGCAACTTCTTGCATATCATTGCGCGACGCAGCCTCCAGCAGAACTACACTGTTTTCGAACGAAATGTGACCTTTGCCGGACGTTGTGCCATTGCGAAAGTGATGTGTGGTGCTCAGGCCGTTGAGGGTGGATAAATTGACACCTTTGGCTCGCTGGAGTTTTAGCCATTCTTTTTCTTTTTGACGGGCAACTTTTAATTGTTGAGCTCGTCGCCTGAAAATATATTTGTATGTATGTGTGAGTGTGGGAGAATCGAGGTAAGCCGTAGAAAAGTTCGAATAAAGAGATAATAAAAAAACCGAAACGGAGAAAGAGAGAAAAAAGCCAATTAAAATCTCATAAAAATGAAAAAACCAGTAAATCTCTCCAAAGTAGAGATTTTGTGACGGATTTAAATAAGAATGCAATTGCAGTGCAGTGCAAATTGTGACAGGTGAAAACAATCAACTTCTTGTGTGTGGGATGAAAGTTAAAAGAGGTGAGATAATAAAGATTTTTATTTCTCACATTGAGAAAACGAAATGTTTGATGAATAGGATGGTATTCTCAGAAAATTGAAAGGTGATGGGATTAAAAGTAGATGGTCTTTTTTAACTAATATGAGTGAATAGTGTAACTGGAGAATGCAAATAAAGATGAAAATGGGAAAACCCAGGGAAAGTATTATCCGGACACATTTAACAACAATGAATTAACTGAACGGTAGAAAATATATGGAAGCTATACCTGCATCTGCACCAATTTTAACAAGACGCAAAAACGTCATTCTAGTCTCAATTTGATACGTTGTGCAAATTTCATGTCAATTATGCAAACATTAGGAGTTTGGTGCAATATTTTCCTAAAATCGGATGAAATCGGATAAAATATATGGGAGCTATATCGAAATCGGAACCAATTTCAACGGAACTTGCCAGAGATTTATTTATATTAACTACTGTACGTTTTGTCAATCGGCTTAGATTTGAGCCTTTAGTGCACCATTTACTTAAAATCGGACAAAAATATATATGGAAGCTATATGTAAATTTGGCAAAATGTCCCTACCAAAAATTATCAACATTGGTCCATGTTTCCGTGTAGCCCTCATATAATGGAAATCCTTATTATTTTGGGCGGTTTGGGCAGGTTTTTAACCGAATTTGTTCCAATTTTCATTTTTCAGGTTCTCAATTGGAGTGACATCTTCCTACTAAAAACCAGTAAGGAAAGTACTAAAGTCGGACTGGGCCGACTATATGATACCCTTCACCACTTTGGGTATATTCCACATATGTATCCTAACAGACGTCGCGTTTTTTGTTATATATCTATATCTGAACCGATTTTAGGGAAACTTGCCGTAGACTACTTTATATTACTTCAGTACATTGTGACAATCGGCCTTGTTATGGATCTTTTCACGAAGCTTAGCTACATCATTTTAGACTTAATTCAGTACCCTATACCAAAATTCGTGCAAATTGAAAGATATATATATATATAGGGTCTTTGATGCACCAATTACTTTAAATCCGATGAAAATATATATGGGAGCTATATCTCAATCTGAACTGATTTTCACGAAACTTTGCACACATCATTCTAGACTTAATTCAGTACGCTATGCCAAAATTCGTGCAAATCAAAAGATTTCCAGGGACTTTAATGGACTATTTACCTAAAATCGGGCGAAACTATATATGGGAGCTATATCTAAATCTGAACCGATTTTTCATAATTTCAATAGGGTTCGTCCTTGGGTCAAACAAATGAGATGTGCAAAATTTCATCCAATTAGGATCATAAATCCAACCATGGGTCTATCTCGATTATTTTTGCCTGTTACAAAAATATGCACAAACACATAATACCCTGTATCAAAGTGTGGTGAAGTGTATAATGATCAATATTGGTTCACTTTTTTGGGAATCCTACGCTACATCCCATATTTCGGTATTTTGGGGAGCTTGGACTCGTACTTTAGGTCCACATTCTCACATAGTTACCAAATAACAGACTCGCCACATTTTTGTATTTCAAAGGTCCTACGATCACTTTCAATTGACTTTCAGAGGTTATAAAATAACCCGGTAGAAAATAATCAACGGTATTTGGAAAGTTCTAGCCTCATACGATAATAGACATGTTTAAGGATAATTCTCAGTTGGAGTACGTTTTTTAACATAGTCCCCATATGATACCCTAGGGCCGACCATATGATACCCTACACTATCACTGAGCACTCAGTTTCTGTGAATCTATATTCCAAGCTTTGGTAATATTTCGCGCTACTTGCACTCTCTGCGGCAGCTAGAAAACAGACAAAAATATTTCATCCACAATATATCATCTGATCATCATCGAAAATGATAGACGTCGTCCTTGACCATAACTTGATCCTTATGCAAAAGTGTAACTCTCGCAATCAGGATACGTACTTCAATGTAATCGGTATCAATTAAAAGGTCAACCACTCCTCTTGGATATAATACAAACTTATCGGGTCTACATCCTTCAGGCTTAAGGATTCCTTCGAATCTACACTAATTCAAGAATGTCCCTACAAAAGTGAAAATCTCAATAACTCTTGAAGATATAGCCGATTTATTGTGTCAGCATCAAGTGACGCCTAAAGGGCTTCTCAAACTTTAAACGCATTTTTCTCTTTGGTAATCGATTCCAAATTTTTACACGTTTCTGTGTGAGTGTAGCTATCGTATGAACTAAGATAAAGCCAATCGGTGAAGATCTTCCTTATTTTTTAACTTGGTTTGTCTTCAAAAATCGGTGATTTTCCAAAAATATTTTTTCAAAGGTCTGCCATTTCGATAACTTTAGAGCGAAGTCAATAATCCTAGTTCATACGAGAGCCAGACATGTACTCTTTCTAACACCGTTGGAATTTTCGGATTCCGATGTTCCAGTGAGGAGTTATCATGCCCGCCATCAAAAAAGGACTTCTCTTTAATTGCAAAAACAACAACAAAACAATAACAAAAAATTTTTGTATATTACTTTTCTTCTCTTTTAAATTTTCAAATATATATGTGCAAAGTTACAAACCTTAACAAGCATTGGTATTGATTTACCAGCTCATTGAAAATCTTGAAAAATTAAAATCAAGAATGGGGGGGCCCATTTTACCAGTTATGCTTAATCTTTATTTGTTAAAAATTTCGTATTCGGGTCATAATTGTGGCTTCTAGAGTGACCAGAAAAACTGATGAAATAAAGTTTTTGGTCTAGAATTGGTCTTCTTTGGCCAGAACCAATCTTATATGCTAAATTTCGTGGCGATTGGTCCATAGCTGTATCGTATTTATAAATTATAATGTACAGACGGATGGGTACACATTTCAAAATTGACTCACTTAATTGAGATATGACCTTTATACAAAATCGTAGGTCTAGGACCAATATTTAGAGACGTTAATAACTCTTGGGCCGCACAAAGCTCTAATACCCTTACAACATCGATTTGTGGGGTATTTTGTCATAACTTTACAAGATATTTTTCATAGAAAAGCATCTCTTCTGACCATGTACAACAGCAGCATGTAAAACAACTAAACAGAACTCCTCCTTCAATCAAGCCAAGATATGTTAAACATATCTTAGGCAATGAATTCATAAGAAATGCGAGCCAATAGGATGATAGGATCTTTCCGCGGACACGCTTGTTTACAATAACACCGACAGTCTTGCTAGTCTTGCCGTGGTAGGCCTTGTAGGGCATACCCTTTTGAACAGCACCATGACCCGTGATGTCAACGATTTTGAAGACACGCATATAGGTGGACAATGGGATGACACCATGCTTGCGGAAGGGGCGGGAGAACATGTCTCTGGGACGATAACCCTTGGATTTAGTCATGTTGTTGTTGTGTGTAGTTCTCTTATAGGAAATACCGTCCACGCGGTCTTATGATATCTCTGGTGCCGCGACGATAACCCTTGGAGTTAGTCATGTTGTTGTTGTGGGTAGTTATCTCATAGGAAATACCGTCCACGCGGTCTTATGATATAGCTACGATATAATGGCCAAGCCCCGCAGTTTAGGTATATGGAAGATTCTAGCCACATATAGGCAAAATTTAACATTTTGATTTCTAAGAGAAAATTTTCAAAATATGTTCATAGATCTAGTATCTGTGTATTAATATATGAACATTCATATAGAATATTAAAAAATTCCTTTTTTTGGCTTTTGTTAATGGTTTTCCATATTTTGAATACAAACCCTCGTTGCTATAATATAAGCGAGCGACTGGCGAGTCTAAAATATTTTTTTTTACTTTCCTCAGGGTTACTATTCGGTTATTTTGATCTTAATCCTATTTTATTACTAGTTCAACATTTCACTCCTTTTTATTTCCAAAGAAAACTCATTTTTTATCACTTTTGAATAAATTTCATCTCAAATTTACTCGGTTATAAATTCCTAAACATATTTTAGGAATTTTATATTCCAACACTTTCTGAGTTCAGTGTATGACACACAAACAATGACTAGCAGAGTTCTGTTTATTGTTTGTGTTTATACCCTTCACCACACTGTGGTACAGGGTATTATGTCTTTGTGCATATGTTTGTAACAGGCAAAAGGAAACGAGATAGACACATGGTTCCTTTTGAGAATATGCATAGAATCACTTTATGCATGTCCGTCTGTCCGTCCGCCCGTCCATGTATTTTTGTTAACAAAGTACAGGTCGCATTTGTGATCCGATTTGGATGAAATTTGACACACTTCACTTATTTGGCCCAAGGACGAACCCTATTGAAATTGGGAAAAATTGGTTCAGATTTAGATATAGCTCCTATATATATTTTCGTCCGATTTTATGTAAATGGTGAACTAAAGTCCCTATATATCCTTCGATTTCCACGAAATTTGGCACATCGTACTGAATTGAGCCTAGAAAGATGTGTGTTAAATTTCGTAAAAATCGGTTCAGATTTAGATATGGCTCCTTTATATATTTTCGTCGGATTTTATGTAAATGGTGCACTAAAGTCCCTATATATCCTTTCAGTTTCACGAAATTTGGCATAACGTACTGGATTAAGTCTAGAAAGATGTATGTTAAATATCGTGAAAATCGGTTCAGATTTAGATATAGCTGCCATATATATTTTCTGATTTTATGTACATGGTGCACCAAAGTCCCGATATATCCTTCGGTTTGCATTTGGATTTATAAGTAAATGAAGAACTCAAAATGTGGCCGAAGATGTGACAAGTTTCGATGAAATCGGTTTAGATTTCGATATTTTGCTTTATTATACACTAACATTAGTACAAATTTCCAAAACTTCCTCCATACCCCAATCATACACCCCCACAGTTATCCTAAATCCATGGTTCAGGATTCAAACTCTATCGGTTCACCCACAACACAAATTGTACCAAATTTAGTACACAATAGTATGAGTTTCAAAAACTTCCAACTTAACCCAAACCAACACCCCATAGTAATCCTAAATCCATTTTTCAGGATTCAAACTCTATCAGTTCACTCACAATTCAAATTGTACCAAATTTAGTACACAGTAGTACCAATTTCCAAACCATTCTACATACCCCAATCCCCCACACTGATCCTAAATCCAAGTTTCAGGATTCCAACTCTATCGGATCACCCACAATTTAAATTGCACCAAATTTAGTACACAATAGTACGAATTTCAAAAACTTCCTATGTACCCCAATTCTACACCTCCACAGTGATCCTAAATCAAAATTTGAGGATTCCAACTCTATCGGTTCACCCACAATTCAAATTGTACTAAATTTGGTACATAGTTGTACCAATTTCCAAATCTTCCTACATACCCCAATCCTATACCTCCACAGTGTTCATAAATCAAAATTTCAAGATTCGGTTCACCCAAAAAATCAAATCGTTCTAAATTTAGTACATAGTACCAATTTCCAAACCCAACCCTATACCCCCACAGTGATCCCAAATCCAAGTTTCAGGATTCCAACTCTATCGGTTCTCAATCTCACACCTCAACAGTGATCCCGGCTCTAAATTTCATGATTCTAGCTCTATTGGTTCACCTAAAATTCAAATTGTACCAAATTTAGTACCATTTACTACCCATAAGTATTATTTTCGTAAACTGAATCCTGACGCCAATTCCACACTCCTACAGTGATCCTGACTCCAAATTTCATTGTTCCCGCTCCAAATCCCAAATCCAAACTGTACCGATTATAGTACGATTTAGTACTTTTCGTACACATAAGTAACAAATTTCAAAAATTACGTTCATATCCCAATCCTACACTCCAACGGTAATTTTAATTTCAAGATCCAGGATTCCAGCTTGATTTGTACCTCCAAATCAAATTTGCACCAAATATAGTACCATATAGTACTTTTCGTACACATGAGTAAGCGCATTCAAAACCATCTCCTTAAATGGACCCTACATCTGAACCTTAATTCATACTCCAAACTTCAAGTTTTTAACGCTACGGTACAGAATTGTACCAAATTTAGTACATTTTCGTACTTTTCGGATAGTTATAGTTCGAATTTCCAAAAACCCTTTGGTACATCTATCCTACACTCCATCAATGACCAAAATTTAGTATAGGTTGCAAAATGACATGTTTAATTGCATGTTAATGGTCCTTAAAAAATGCGACGTCCGTTAGGAGCCCATCTGTTGAATATACCCATAGTGGTGAGGGTATCATAAAGTCGGCCCCGTCCGACTTTACTACTTTCCTTACTGGTTTTTATTGAAAATGCTACAAGGATCCTAAGTTAGTCATCATTGTTATAAAAATTCTTGCAAATGTTTGCGAAAAAAATTGTCATAAATAACCCGTTATCCTTTTGTGGCATGGCATGGCTATGATATGATGATATTTGAAATACACACCCATAATGCTGTAACCAAACAAAGGTTATAAATCATAACATGGATCCCTTGGCACAAAAAAAAACGAGAGTACAAAAAAAAAAGAGCCAACACTCATACCACTAGTTTTGTTTAAAACCCCTTTGGGATAATCTAAACAATAACAATAACTATTGTCAGTCAAGTTAGTCAGATGGGTAGACAGCCATGTGGTAGTTATTGTCTGACGTGTTGTGTTTTCATGGGCAATTTCCCTCAGTGGGTTATTGGTTAAATTGACTGGCCAGGCCAGTTAGCCAGTCCATTGAGAAGGAGCAAATTTATGGTAAATAATGCGTAACAATGAGGGTGTTGGTGTTGTTTTATTTTGTTTTCCCATACTTACAGTCTTGCCAATTGCAGTCGCTCGTGTGTGGGTAAATTTTCGACAGTTTGCATTTCCGCCACCAAATCGGCATGCTCCATTTTTAGCTGGGCCTTGAGGGCTTCATCCGATTTACGATTAATTAATATGCCTTTGACCATGATGATGCCGTTGCGGAATGGGCCTGTATGTTTGAGTGTTGGACGTTATGTCGATGTGTTGCGGTTTTTTCGATTTATTTTTTTTTACTTCCTTCTAGGAATTTTGCGTTTGTGGGTGGGGCTTCAAGGTCGCTCAGTAGTGGTAATACATGCCACCACCACCCTATGGAAATTGGTTTTCAACAAAAAATGATATGTTTCAATTTTGTGTTTCGTTTTCATTTGCTCGTGAGGAATTTTAACTTGATGTCATTGTAATTCTTTCAAGGAGATGTTGTTGTTGCTGTAACGAAACAAAATTGAAATAAAACATTATTTTATATTAAAGAAAAACAATAATTATAGTTTATAATATAGGAATATTTTCCTTCAGATTTTTTTCCCCTTTTACCCTGAGTTTTTTTAATAATCTCCTTATGGATATTTTATAGCCTCAAAAGAGAATAGAAAAAATGTAAATGAAGGTTTGTTCTCATTTTTTTTGGAATTTTACCTGCTGCCACCGGTGATGCTGATGAGTATTATGATGATGATTTTTATGAATGAACTCAAAAGCAATTTTACGCATTGTTTGGCAACTGTGTTTGTCGGTGCCGGATTTTTTCTTTCATTTTTGATTCCTGTGAAAAGGAGAAGCAATTTTAAGTTATTTAGCTTTGATTGCACACATATTCACTGGGGAACATTAAGGTACACTGAAAGAAATATTTTATGGGAATAATTGCGGACAAATGATTATTATAATAAGTAAAAACGTCCACCATGAGGTGAACCTCATAAATGGCATTCGGGACTTTCATAAATGGCGGGCTATGTCACGGTAAGTATTTTGTTAGAAGAGAGAACCAGCTTACAGTGTATTTGTTAAAGAAACGTGCCCAAACATTACCCAAAATACCGAATACATGAGGTTACGTTATGTGGAGGTTGTCCTAAAATCTTGACGGATACCAACAATCTTTGGTAAGATTAGCAAATTCGGGTATAAAATGTAACGAAACTTTTAAAAGTTCCGAATAATGTGTGCTATGGTTATATGAGGAATATCCTCAAAAGTTAGACCGATATAGATATTTTATGGTAAGAAGATTTGTTACCCAATGGGAGCTCAAATTATCAAGTAACAGCCAATTCGTTTAAAAAACGTGCTTAAACTTTCAACCAGTAAGGAAAGTAGTAAAGTCGGACTGGGCCGACTATATGATACCCTTCACCACTTTGGGTATATTTTACATATGTATCCTAACAGACGACGCGTTTTGTTATAAATCTATACCTGAGCCGATTTCAGGGAAACTTGCCAGAGACTTATTTATATAACATCAGTATGTTGTGTCAATCGGCTTACCTATGGATCTTTTCACGAAGCTTAGCAACATCATTCTAGACTTAATTCAGTACCCTATATCAAAATTCGTGGAAATTGAAAGATATATAAGATATTTGGTGCACCAATTACCTTAAATCGGATGAAAATACTTATGGGAGCTATATCTAAATCTGAACCGATTTTCACGAAACTTGGCAGATATCATTCTCGATCTTATTATATTCTTATATTATTCATAACTTTGTGCCAAATTTCGTTCACATCAAAAGATTTCCAGGGACTTTAGTGGACTATTTATTAAATTGGGCGAAGCTATATCTAAAACTGAAAAAAATTTTCACGAAACTTTACACACATCGTTCTATACTTAATTTAGTACGCTGTGCCAAATTTCGTTCAAATCTATATATATATATATATATATATAAAGGAGCTATATCTATATCTGAACCGATTTTCACGAAACTTGGCAAACATCATTCTAGACCTTATTCATTACCCTGTGCCAAAATTCGTGCAAATCAAAAGATTTCCAGGGACTTTAGTGGACTTACCTAAAATCGGGCGAAGCTATATATGGGAGCTATATCTAAATCTGAACCGATTTTCGAGAAACTTTGCACATATCATACTAGACTTAATTTAGTACGTTGTGCCAAATTTCGTGCAAATCGAAAGATATATAGGGACTTTGGTGCACCATTTACCTTAAATCGGACGAAAATATATATGGGAGCTATATCTAAATCTGAACCGATTTTTACGGAACTTTGCACATATCATTGTAGACTTAATTTAGTACGTTGTGCCGAATTTCGTGCAAATCGAAAGATATATAGGGGCTTTGGTGCACCATTTACCTTAAATCGGACGAAGATATATATCTGAACCGATTTTCGCGAAACTTTGCACCCATCATTTGTGACCTTATTCATTACGCTGTGCCAAATTTCGTGCAAATCGAAATATATATAGGAACTTTGCTGCACCATTTACCTTAAATCGGACGAAAATATATATGGGAGCTATATCTAAATCTGAACCGATTTTTCCCAATTTCAATAGGGTTCGTCCTTGGGCCAAACAAATGAGCGGTGCTAAATTTCATCCAATTCGGATCATAAATGCGACCTGTACCTTGTTTACAATTTAACATAGACAGACGGACGGACAGACGACTTAGAAAGTGATTCTATGCATATTCTCAAAAGGAACCATAGGTCTATCTCGATTATTTCTGCATGTTACAAACATATGCACAAACACATAATACACAGGGTACCACAGTGGGTATAAAAATGGGGGTACCGTCATAGGTAGGCTATTCACAAATGTGTATCGATATGGATAATTTTTGTTTGGGAGATTTGCTACCTAATAGGAAATTACAAATTACAGCCAATTCGGTTATAAATGTGTTCGTTATAGGTAGGCTATCCTCAAATGTGATCTGATATCGATATATTTTTATAATGGAGCTCAAAGTTCCTAATTACAGCCATTTCGAGTGGGATCCGTTATCCTCAAAAGTGAACCGATATGGATATTTTTTGTTAAGGAGATTTGTCATCAAATGGGACAGAAAAGTACTAAATTACAGGCAATAAGGATAAAAGACGTGCCCAAATTCCTCTAAATACCGAATAATGAGGATTTTCGTTATATGGGAGATATCATAAAAATGGACCGATTTCGACGATTTTTTGGTAGGAAGATTTGCTACAGAATGGAATTTACAGTCGATTCGGTTAAAAAAAACGTGCCCAAACTTAACTAAATATAGAATATTTGGGGTACCGTTATATGGGGGCTATATCAAAACGTGAACAGGTATATTCCATTTTCACTTTCAAACATCCTACGAGTAGTAGCAGTATATGTGCAAAATTTCAAAGCTGTATTTTAACCTGTGAGCGGAGCAGTATAGTCGGACGGGGCCGACCATATGATACCCTACACAACTTCCATGAAAATCTAACTAACCTTAGGTTGTGTTGTGATGTTCGACATTCTACTCGAAAAGTACAAATAATTAAGTTTTCGGTCCACTTCATTCGAAAAATTATTATCTGATCAGCACCTAACATTTTAGGTGTTGTCCTTGACCATAAGTGGAACCTCATGGAACATTTCAAAGCGATCAGGCTATATATTTGCCCTAAAGTGTGGTAATAGGTTACTAAATAACGTAAGCACCTGTAAATATTTAAGTGTAACTCCCGCATCCGAGTACCTACGACAATATGATTGGTATCAATTTAAAGTTCAACCACTCCTCTTGAACACACTATAAACTTCTCGGGTCTTGGTCTTCAAGGAGTAAATATATACGCCATAGAATACAAATTTTTTAATTTTTCACACAAAAATCAGGGTCCATTTGACCCGCTAAATATTGACCGATCTGTATAAAAACAGGCAAGCTCATTCTTTGGCCCGACCCCCTTCTCCATGTGAAAATTCGCGAAGTTCGGGCCATAATTGCGGCCTCTGGAGCGACCAGAAAATTGGACAAAAACAAAGTTTTTGGTCTATTTCATCCCCTAAATATTAACCGATCTTTATCAAAAACAATAGGGGTCTTCATTGGCCAGAACCCATCCTACATGCAAAATTTCGTGAAGATTGGTCCATAACTGTGGCCTGTATCGCGTTTACAAGTCTAGATCGACTCAGCTAGTCGGGATATGACGATCGGTATACTTAAAGGTGGGTCTAGGAGCAATATTTCGCGGCGATACAAACTTTTGGGGCTGCACAAAGCTATAATACCCTGACAACATAGTTGTGTAGGGTATAAATATTGCGGTCTGCACCGTCAATTGTCAGGCTTTTAGGACTTAATCATATTTGGATTCTATCCGGACATCCCAATCGAAATGGCTGTGACAATTTGTTTTGACATGACAAATAATCCGGACCAGTTTTCTATATTTTCCAACGTAATTTTCCTTAACAAATATATAGATAAACCCTACAGAAATCAATTAGAAAGAGAGGTCCCTGATTTCTTATAGGTCTTATAAAAAGTCCTGTCTTACTTTCGGCCATGTTATCAATTTCCAAGCATATTGGCTGTAATGCGGCGTTATGGGTGCTCAGAGTATAAAAAAATTTCTCGCATATCATTTTCAATAAATGTTCATGATTCAATATAGCCTCCATACAAATTTCCTGGCTCATTTTCGGCCTGAACAATATTTTCTAACCGAGGTGACATTTCAGATTCCCAGGGAGAAAAAAACTTCTTATAGGTTTCACCCCAAGTCTTAGCAACATTCTTCAACTAAAGTGCCATTTCTCAGACGATTATCTAAAGGCATTATTCTCATAATGGTAATAAATTGTGATTTCCATAAACGATTTTCTGTACAAATTTCCAATATAGGTCTATGTTTTGACATGACTCTGCAGGGAAATGTTCCGTCATGTTTCGGTATTTTGAGGGTCCTAGCCGCATTTTTCACATAAGTTCGTGCAATTTGACACTTCGTCATTCAAATGTGGATATCTTTGCATCTGTAATCAAGGCGGGGACTCAAAACTCAAATTCCGAGACTGAACACGAGGTTAAGGCAATCATTACCGTCATAGAATGTTGGAGGAGTAAAGAGACCGATATTATGGTAGAGGAAGCGATTAAGTATATCACCAAACTTACATCTAGGACACAAAACC